TGCTCGTCGAGGAGAAGGGGTGGCGGTGACGCTCCCTCCTCCCCCCCGGAGGCAAGGTGCCTTCGGGTGCGTTTGATGGGCCCTTCCAAACTGAATTCCCCGGTCAGACGGCAGGGGCGGTCCGCGGCGAGCAAGTACCTTGGGGTGACTTTCTTCCTTTGTTTGCACTTGAACACCGCGTCCCTCGTTGCGTCCCGCGCCGGATTCTTCCCAGAGATGAAGGGCAGGGACGTGCTTTCCGAGAGATCCCGGCTGAACGCTTTTTTATCCCTTTCCCTCTCCGGCAGTTGAAAAAACAAAGCTGTGTTGAAGGTGCACCGTCAGTAAGTGACGGTGTGTCTGAGCGCTGCTTGCATCCCCTCCTCGTAAACTTTTTTTTTGTGGCGAAACGCATAAATAACTTAATGCTGCCTTCTAGCAGCAGGTTTTCCTATGGTTTAAACTACTTGCATGCAAGCTGTTCCTAGGAAGTTACATGGGAAATCTTAGCTGTATTCTCTTACCACCTCTGCTGTCTTTCTGTAAGAGTGCTGTGTAATATGTGTGTATTTCCTATTTACTTGTCTAACCATGTGGAAATATTCAGCTGTTTAGCGAATAGAATGCCTTTAAGGCTGAAAACGATCTCCTCCTTAAGTTTTTGTTTTGTTCCTTTGTGAAATCCTAAAATCTCACTTTTAGAAGACTGGAAAGTGAGCTTTATTAGTGATCCCAGTAGTAGGATAGTCTGGTTTTTGTAACTTAACATGTGGAAAAACTTCATATGGTTCAGTTATCACCACTATCAGTGGAAGTAAGCAAACATAAAATCGCTCTAAAATCCCTGAAAGATTTAAATCTTTAAGTTTTTTAGGTTTAAGACAGCATTCAAGCTCAGTAAAACTATTTTTGTTGTCAGAAGCTATAAGGTGCCATATTAAATTTCGAACCAACTTTTTCATTCACAGGGATTGGCGATCTGCTTCTCCTTGCACAAGTAGTAAGTTCAGTATTAGATAAGCTACTAAGTAACTGCTGTACAGATGAATAGCCAGAATTCTTTGGGTGAAACTCTACTTCTCCACGATTCAGAATCTTTGGGTGTTGTTCGAATACAGCTGCTGCATTTTTCTTTGAATAGTAAAGATCTCAAACACATAAATCAGAGTATCTCGTGAGATTAACTCATGTGAAGAATTTACGGGAGTTTAGTCACAAATTGAAACTGTTGGGTTAATCTCTGCGACAATGTACGTTTTTTGAATAACTTAACCAGCTTTACAAAAGTAATGTTACCATATGCTTTCATCTTGTGTTAATTTTCTTGGTACCAAAACAGACGGGCAAGCTCCCTCCCAGAAGAGCAAAAGACGCTGTTAAATTTTTTTAATTGGAAACTTAAGCATGTTGAAACAACTAAACCTGGTGTTTGGTGGGTTGGCGCTTTTTTTTCCCCACAATCAGCCTACATAAAGAGTTGCTTTTAAACAATTGAACGAGTAGGTGTGTAACTACAGTCAGTACAGCTCACAAAGCCCCACGATCTCTCCTGGACTTCGACAATAGGAACCCTGCCATGACAGTTTGGTTACTGCGGGAGCAGCTTTTCACAGCCGGTTTGTGTCCGGCAGCGCCGGGTGCATGTGCTGGTCAGAACTCACCTTTAAAGCAAACAGGTGATGTTTTGATGTTAATGACTTCACGTCGGAAATCAGAGAAGCTGGTGCGCGTAAGGAGGGAAAGCCCCCACAGCCTTTGTTAAAAGTTAGCGAAAGATTTCAGTAGACAAGTATTGTAGAAACAGCACTAAAGAACCTTTTAGTCCTCAAAATGCTCTCTGATGTGTCCCTAGAGCAGTGTAACAGGCCATTCTCACAGCCTCTTGTTCTGCTAATGTAAACGATGCAGCTTAGTTTTACTGGGGGTCCTTCAGGATTTAACTGGCAGATCCTGTGTGTGGAAAAGGGCTGGCGGTGGGATTAAGACTCAGCTCGACTTGAGCTGTGCGGCCTCATCTACGTTCTTTTTCTACCTGCGACTTTTATTTGATTGCTGGGCGAGTAAATCTCTCAATGTGTGCTCCCCAGTGGTACGTTATGTAGAAGATCAGCTTGTTTTATCTGGGTGTTTTTGTTGGCTTGCTTGGCATTGAGATTGCCATTTACCAAATTCTGCATTTTATGCTTAAAACTTTCAAATGTCACACTATAAACTTTGAAGTCTAAATCTTGTAAACATACTGCTAAGAGAAAGGCTTTTATGTGACAGCTATCTTACTGAAGTCATCTTCATTGTAAGTTACCAATCTGAGGTCTGCTAGCCCCAGAATTTTACTTGCTCTTATAGCTTTAATGTGACAATAATCAGTATTTCTTCCCATACACAAATTATGTTAACAGTGTTGATAATAATTCTGTTAATGGAGGTTTACTACTTAGTTACAGTCTTATGTATCCTAGCGCTGGATATGCATATAAATAAAAATGATCTGAATAATAATTTCCAAATAGCAAGTCAAAGTTTAATTGAAAGTAACTTTTCAGGAGAAATACAATGTACGCTTCTTTATAAACCTAGGGCTGTGATGATTTGTTAAGCAAACGGTTGCCCTATGTGTTGAAAATGAATGCAGAAAATCTGAAACTGGTCATATTTCAAAGATAATAAAAAAATTAGAAGTTCAAAGCGTAGCCTTTGGCTAAAATGTTTCTGAAATTCAGTCATTCTGGGTCACTGTAATGAGCCATCTGAGTTTATATCTAACACGTTATCACTTTATCTTAACACATCGTACTTTCCCTTAGTAGTTAACTGTATTTACAACTGGCATTGTTTAATACTTGAGATATTTATCAAGATTATATTATGTTGATTTTTGGATAATCCTGGATCAACATACTTTTAGTTTCCAGTAGCTCTGTAAATTGTGACAAGATGGAAAAAGTGTCATGTAACAGAAACGGCTTGCTCTTTTTTTTTTAATCTAACACGGTTAACTCTTCAGTGGAGGGATGCTCTTAAGCTCTCTATTGCGACTCAAGTTGGTGCTGAGGAATGCATTCTCTGACTGGGAGTTGCGTCATTGTGTGTAATAGGCTGCCTGTTGCCAGTTCTGAGTGGACTCCACTCGAAGTTAGTACAGAAAGACAGCAAAAAGTGCGTAAGGTATTATAGCACAGAAAAATATTTATGCTGATAGTAAAACCTACACGTGTTCAACTTTGAATTTTAGTGAGGAGTTTGGGAATCTTAATGCAGTCTAATAGATAATAGACTGCTTCCAAAATTCCAGCAAGGTGGACTAAAAGAACTTGTTTCTGTTAATTACTTAGAAATGATGTAATAATTTCTTAACATGTCTTTTAAGACAGTCTAATGACATCTTAAATTCTTCAGAGTTTTGAAAGTATTGATCTCAGCTATTTATTGCAGAATTTTGGTTGCTTTTTTGTGTGTGGGTTGGGGTGGTGGTTTGTTGTTTGTTTTTTTTTTCCCCTCCAACGAAAATGTTTGTTTACTTGGCAGTATGTTATGGGTATGAAGTCTTGGAAACCCAGGACTCTGTTTATTCCCAGGACAATCATAGCCTGGGAAGAAGGCTAGATAGGAGAGGAATGATACTGTTAACCTGTTGAAATGGTGGCTGTTCCAACCTCACACTCATTTGCCCTCTCAACCTTTCCTACATCTGGCATTAAGTTCTTGTAAGAGTGGTTCCAGCTAGTGACTTACTTTTAAAAGCTCATACACTTTTCATTGTTTGTTATGATTAGAGCTTTAATCATGTAACTTAACTGATAGATTTGGGAGAGAGAGAGAGAGGCACTTTTGGTTTTTTTTCCCTCCCTCTAGGACACTAGTTAAGTTTTCATTACTCCTCTCCAATATTTTTCCTATAGTTCCTCTGGATCAGAGTCTTAAATTCTTCTCTTCTCAAAATCATTGGCTTACTAATGGCTGTGACTGAATTACTGCTTCTGAAGTTCTGTAGTGAACTACTGACACAAATAGATTTATTTGCTTTAATGCTTTCTAGTGAGCAGAGTCAGTCCATGGAATTTCAGCCAGTGTGAATGTTCATGTATCCACCTGAGCAGGTAGGAATTAGGGGAGAGGGAATTAACTGTAAGAGAAAATGTGAGTTGAGGAAGGCGATAAAGTAATGTGTTACCTTTTGAGCTGAGACTAACAGTAGTGTCTGATGGAGAGGCTGACAGCCAAAGATAGAGTGAGGTCAAACTAGGGCTAAAATGTGGGAGAAAAGGTCAGCAAGAATGAAAGAAGTTCTACAGTTAAAAATTAATATGAATTGTGTAACAGACCAGCCAAGGAAGAAGATGGTAAAGGAGAGGTAAGGGAAAAATAATAGAATAAATAAGGACAGGTAAATGAAAAGAATGTGTACTACTTTAATTAAAGTAATCAAGTCAGAGCTAGATTGCTCTCTTACTTGCTGGAAAGAAATTTTTCCCCTAAGATTTTGTTTGAAAGGTGAAGCTTTGATTTGTTATTCTGTGAGGCTTTGAGGAGTAAAGACTGTTGCTATAAACTGTGATCCAAAGATCTTGTTCTTGAGGTTTCTGCCTTTCTTCCTACAGCAATCTGGCCTGGATTTAGGCATTGGAAATGGATGCACTGACTTCTTCAAAAGGGAAGCCCAATGAGGATGTGTCTCCATGTCTGTTTTGCCATTCCAGGCTCTATCCCTCTCACTTCTGGAGTGCATTTGAGAAACATGTCTTAATAGTTCCTCCAGTTATTTTGATAGATTCCAGTTCTCATAGCTCTTGATACCAATTTTTCAGATCTGTTCTGAGAGGGGAATAAAGGAATAAGTCTCATTCTTTATTGGTTTTACCACTCAGTGATGCTTGATTAAAAATGTTTGATATGCGCTGCTGTCCACTAAGAATTAGGGTACTTAGATCTGGCGAGATTACAACATACACACAAATTTATTCTCTGTTTACAATTTGTATATTTCTTGGAACAGGTGCTCATAGGATACTTTGAAGAATTCATGGTAATTTCAAGCCAACTCTTGTAGTTTACTTCCACATTGTTGGACATCAGCCACTGTACAATCTAAGTGAAACGAGGGAGAAGAATTTTCTATCAGAAGACAGTGTCACATATAAGCAGAGGACAGGAGTGAATGTTCAGATCTAGCCTGCTCACTTATAGCAGGCAGCACTGGCATATTTATTTTAACATGTTGCCTCACGGAATTGTTAATTTGAAGTTAATTGTGTGTTCCCCTAGTGTCATGGTAGTAACTCCTAGACTTTTGGTCTTGGGATTTCTTGGCATTTTTTAGATGTTTTAATTTATCTGCATTTCTGTTACTGTAAATCACGTTGAAACTTTCTGGAAAAAAATAAGATATAACCTACATGTGTAACTTCTAGTCTTCTTTAAAGCCTGAATTCTAAACTAAATATCAAGGTAACTTGAATAATATTTGAACAGTCCTAAGTCTTAACATGTCTTTCTCCTTTTTTTCCCAGGGTTTCTTTGTAATTGCTGCCATGGGAAGACACTTGACTATCCTGTTGCTGCTGATGCTGCTGGTGCAGCATTTTGGAAACTGTGAAGGAAATCAAAGGCCACACCATGCTCCGCCAATGCAGTTTACACAAGTACAGTATAATGCTACTGTATATGAGAATTCTGCAGCCAAGACTTATGTTGGGCATCCAGTGAAAATGGGCATTTACATTACAAATCCATTATGGGACCTGAGATACAAAATTATTTCTGGTGACAATGAGAACTTGTTCAAAGCTGAGGAATATGTTCTTGGAAACTTTTGCTTTTTGCGAATACGGACCAAGGGAGGAAACACAGCTATCCTTAACAGGGAGGTAAAAGACCATTATATGCTGACTGTTAAAGCAGTTGAAAAAAATACAAATGTTGAAACTCGCACAAAGGTCAGGATACAGGTACTGGATACCAATGACTTGCGGCCTTTGTTTTCTCCAACATCTTACAGTGTTTCTCTGCCTGAAAACACGGCGATAAGGACCAGCATTGCAAGAGTCAGTGCAACAGATGCAGATATAGGAACAAATGGAGAGTTCTACTATAGCTTTAAAGAAAGAACAGATGTGTTTGCTATTCATCCAACTAGTGGAGTGGTAGTTCTAACTGGTAGACTTGACTACTCAGACACTAAGCATTATGAGATGGAAATTCTTGCAGTGGACCGTGGGTTGAAGCTGTATGGTAGCAGTGGCATAAGCAGTATGGCAAAGCTAACTGTTCATGTAGAGCAAGCAAACGAATATGCCCCTGTTATTACAGCTGTTACATTGACTCCATCAGAATTGGACCAAGATCCAACTTATGCAATTGTGACTGTAGAGGACAATGACCAGGGTTCAAATGGGGAAATAGCATCATTAAATATTGTGGCAGGTGATCCACTTCAACAGTTCAAAACAGTGAGGTCTGTTCCGGGAGGTAAAGAGTACAGAATAAAAGCCATTGGTCACATTGACTGGGAGAACCATCCTTTTGGATACAACCTTACCCTTCAAGCTAAAGATAAAGGCAATCCCCCCCAGTTTTCTTCTGTGAAAGTTATTCATGTGACATCACCACAATTTAAGTCTGGTCCTGTCAGATTTGAAAAAGAAATATATAGAGCTGAAATAAGTGAATTTGCCCCTCCAAACACACCTGTGATAATGGTGAAAGCTCTGCCTAGTTACCCACATTTAAAATACGTATTTAAAAATACACCCGGCAAAGTAAAATTCAGTTTAAACACTCACACTGGTCTTATCACCACTTCAGAACCCATAAAAGCACAATATGCATCCCATTTTGAACTTGAAGTTGTGACAAGTGACAGAAGAGCTTCTGCAAAAGTATTAATTAAGGTACTAGGCATGAACAGCAATCCTCCTGAATTTACTCAGACATCTTATAAAGCCTCCTTTGATGAGAATGTGCCAGTAGGTACAAGTGTCATGAGAGTAAGTGCAAAAGACCCTGATGAAGGGGAGAATGGTTATGTGACCTATAGCATTGCAAACCTAAATCCTCTGCCATTTGTGATCAACCATTTCAGTGGGGTTATTAGTACCTCAGAAGAACTGGATTATGAATTGATGCCAAGGGTTTACAATTTAAGGATTCGAGCTTCTGATTGGGGTATACCATATCGTCGAGAAGTTGAAGTTCCTGTTACTATTATTTTAAATAACCTGAATGACAATATACCTCTGTTTGAGAAAATAAATTGTGAGGGAATAATCCCCAGGGATCTTGGTGTTGGAGAACAAATAACAACTGTGTCTGCTATTGATGCCGATGAGCTCCAGTTGGTGAGGTACCAAATTGAATCTGGAAATGAACTGGATTTATTTAGCCTAAATCCAAATTCTGGAGTCCTTTCACTTAAACAGCCATTAACAGATGGCCTTGGTGCTAAAGTGTCTTTTCACAGTTTGAAAATTACAGCTACAGATGGAGAAAACTTTGCAAAACCATTGTATATCAACATAACTGTAGCTACTAGTCGCAAGCCGGTCAACTTGCAATGTGAAGAAACTGGAGTTGCCAAAATGCTCGCAGAGAAACTCTTACAAGCAAATAAATTGCACAGTCGTGGAGAAGTTGAGGATGTTTTCTTTGACACTCATTCTGTGAATCTGCATGCACCTCAATTTAGAAGTACTATCCCCAGTAGCATTGAGATAAGAGAAGACCTGCCTGTGGGCTCCAGCATATTATTTATGAATGCTACTGATCTTGATACTGGCTTCAATGGGAAGCTAGTGTATGTTATCTCTGGAGGTAACGAAGATAGTAGTTTCATTGTTGATATGGAAAGAGGAATGCTGAAAATTTTGTCTCCCCTTGACCGAGAAGTAAAGGATAAATACACTCTAAATATTACTGTCTATGATCTTGGAATACCACAAAAGTCTGCCTGGCACCTTTTAGATATAAAAATTTTGGATGCTAACGACAACCCTCCTGAGTTCCTGCAAGACAGCTATTTTGTTGAAGTGAGTGAAAACAAAGAACCAAACAGTGAAATAATTCAGATTGAAGCTACTGATAGAGATTTGGGGGCTAATGGAGAAGTGAAATACTCTCTTCTTACAGATACAGACAAGTTTACTATTAATGCTGTGACTGGAGTTGTGAAAGTTGTAGGGGCTCTGGATCGTGAAGAACAGCATGTCTATTTCTTGAAAATAGAGGCTAGGGACCAACCTACTGAAGAACCTCAATTATTTTCAACAGTTATTTTGAAAGTGTCTGTAGAAGATGTTAATGACAATCCTCCTAAATTTATTCCTTCAAATTATCATGTGAAAATCCGAGAAGATCTTCCTGAGGGAACTATTATCACGTGGCTAGAAGCCCATGATCCTGATTTAGGCCAGTCAAGTCAAGTGCGATACAGTCTTTTGGACAGTGGAGATGGCACCTTTGATGTTGACAAGCTAAGTGGAGCAATACGTATCGTACAAAGACTGGATTTTGAAAAGAAACAACTTTATAACTTGACTGTTCGGGCCAAGGACAAAGGAAAGCCCATTTCATTGTCCTCTACGTGTTATGTTGAGGTTGAGATAATTGATGTGAATGAAAACCTGCACCCTCCACGGTTCTCTGTATTTGCAGATAAAGGCTTTATAAAAGAAGATGCCCCTGTTGGCTCCTCAGTAATGACAGTATCTGCTTATGATGAAGATGCGGGACGAGATGGAGAGATTAGATACTCCATCAGAGATGGATCTGGTATAGGCGTTTTTCGAATAGATGAAGAAAAAGGTAAGGTAGCTTTCAGTTATTTTTATATGCTAAATAAAATCGTATGCCAGCAAAGAGGTAAAAGAAGCAGCATTTTCATAGTTGACATAGATGTTCTTGTTAGGACAAAAAGATGTCACCAATAATGTGTATAGTTCTTGTCTACCACTTTAGTGAAATCATATGTATACATTTGATCAGCAATTTTCCTCTGTTTTCTTCATTTCTATCCAGTCTAATTATAATCTATGCCACCTGGCAAAAATAAGAATATAATTGATATAAAATGAAGGTCTTCATCACATGAGCATTCTTGTCTTGCAGATAGTGGGACTGTGAAGCTAAGGCAGCAAACTGCTGTCTGCAGGGATTTTCATGCTTTTTAATCTTAAGTGACATCTCTATTGAGTTATTTACTGGAGATATGCATGGGTGTGATACTGCCATAGGTACTGGTTTTGGTAGTTATAGGTACCCATTAGTAAGCAGTTCCTTCTTCATGGAAAGGCTTCTGTCAAAGGCGATATAGATGCAGCCTTTAAAAGAACTCATATAAATGAAGCAGACTGAACTGTTGACTTAATAATGCATAAACTGATGAGCATCTGCAAATTATTCCAGTGTCATGTATTCAGAAGAAACATGATTTCAATAAAGTTCTAGTGCTGACTTCTAATGTTTTGGCTGGACATCTGTGTTGCTACCCATTCATTTATATCTCAGATAAAGATAGAGCATTGATATTGTGCTACTATCTAAGCACCTTAAAATGAATTGAGGAGGGATCTTGTGCAAAATTCACCTAGGGCTTTACATGTAAGTGAATTATGACATATGTGATTGATGTATTGCAGAAAAAAACCTTGTAACAAAATAAAAAACAGAAGTCATATCTGATTCATCCAGTAGCCATTCTGTGTGTCCGATATGCTTCCCACAACTGTGAATGTGGGTAATGCAGACTCACAAAGTCACTTTACTCTTCAAGGTTTAGGTGAGCAAACTTTCTGGAAATACTTTTTTCTTCTGTAGGAAAGTAAATTATTAAATTTTGTGGTTTGTGGCTAAAGAACCAATTCTAGAACTTGAAATGTAACATTGCTTCTCTTAGCTTTGCTTTTAACAAATCACATAGACAATTTGTTCCATGGTCTTAACTAAAAATAGAGAATTGAGTACTTTTCAATACTTAGTAGTTTCACTTTTAGGTTTTTAGGTATGTGTGCAGGCTATTAATTTGTGTATCATTATGCCTTTCTTTTGACATAGTTTACTGTGTGCTGTAGTATCTTTGAAAGAGTGAAGAAATATTTTTGACGCCAATATGTAGATGTGTACTTATTTCTGTACATTTAGGTATGTGTATTTTTGTGACAATACTACTGTGGCAGAACTGGTTGCATGTGTGTTGTGTTTTAACCCCAGCTGGCAACTGAGCACCACACAGCCACTTGCTCACTCTCCCCATGGCAGGGTGAGGGAGGGAATCGGAATGGTAAAAGTGAGAAAACTTGTGGGTTGAGACAAAGACAGTTTAACAGGTAAAGCAAAAGCCACGCACACAAGCAAAGCAAAGCAAGGAATTCATTCACCATTTCCCCTCAGCAGGCAGGTGTTCAGCCACCTCCAGGAAAGCAGGGCTCCATCATGTCTAACAGTTACTTGGGAAAGACAAACACCATCACTCTGAACATCCACCCCTTCTTTCTTCTTCCCCCAGCTTTATATGCTGAGCATGATGTGATATGGTGTGGAAATATCCCTTTGGTCACTTGGGGTCAGCTGCCCCAGCTGTGTCCCTCTCCCAACTTCTTGTGCACCCCCAGCCTGCATGCTGGTGAGGTGGTGTGAGAGGCAGAAAAAGCCTTGGCTCTGTGTGAACACTGCTCAGAAGTAGCTAAAACATCCCTGTGTTATCAACACTGTTTCCAGCACAAATCCAAAACACAGCCCCATACTGGCTGTTATGAAGAAAATTAACTCTACCCCAGTGAAAACCAGCACAATGTGTTGCCTCTTTACTCTTTTGGCACAAGGCTAGTTTGCTTCGCTGAAGAATTGGTGTGAGCTTAAGTAAGTTCCTTTTTATCTGCCAGGTTTACAAAGTTGGCAGAACTTGAGGCAAAACCAACTTCTATTTAATCATCTTGTCCAGGACAGTGGCTCTGTGTTTTCAAGGTGGGGGAGAGGCATTGTCTATATTCATATCTGGTATCTGGTGTTTACCGTTCTTTGGGGATGAATGTAGAGGGGAGGTGGGGTGAAGAGAGGTTGCTGGTTTTCAGTTTTAGTGAACAAATTCCACTTAAGACACTGGTGTGGGGAAGGATGTGTGGATTTGTGTTTGGTAGGTGTGTTTTTTCCATCTAATGTTGATCTAAAGAAGCTGAGGAAAGAACACAGAGTATGTACAGTCTTGACAATGTAGCTTAAATATTGTCTTGACTTTTTTTTTAATTGCTAAGAAATCATCAGAATCATTACAGAAGGCACTCTTTATACTGCACTGTCTGAGTATTTGTCATGTTTTTCAAAATGGACTGGCCTTGATAACTGGGAGCAGACTGGTAATTAGCCATACTGCACTGTCTGAGTATTTGTCACGTTTTTCAAAATGAAGTCTGGCCAAAGAAGGCACATTAAAGAATTTGTGAAAGGGGAGATCTGGCAGGCAACTAATTTTCCAGCTTGCTTAAGGACTCTTCTGACTTCACCCTTGAGCTATGTGTCTTTTCTGGCTGGCTTTGAAAGCATCACACTACACTTTCAGTTCAAAGATGGATAAACTGGATTTAGGAAATTATTTGGAGTCAACACTTAACGGGCGGCTAAAAGATAGCCTTTCATGCCTTACTTCTTAGGAATCAAGGACAACAATTACATTTGCAGAAAGACTAGATGATTGATGATTATAGAAGAATCAAATAGCTGGTTCCATGTGTAGAATTTTTGCTTTCTTTCAGATTATCTTTTCCATGTTAATGTTTTATATTTTAAAAGGTAGGAAATTATATGTGTTTTTGATACTGGCATCTGTAATTTTGGATTTTTCACAAGAGAATTTAATCTCTTTGCCACTAACTCTTGACTACTTTTTCTAAGTAGTTTCTTTTCTTTGTTTCGGGTCAGCTGGTTTTCCGAGTCAGCTGGTTCTGAGTCCTGTCCAAACCATTAGAAGTAAATCTCTTAACAGGGAGCCCTAATGCACCCATATTCCCAAACTCTGGAGTTGCTTTGATTACTTTGTTCCCTAATTGCTCTGATGCTTTTCAGGAAGACACAGGAAAAAGTACATTAGGGGTGAACTTGGTAGTCAGTCATGTAAGTATTCATCATCCTGAAAAGGCAATAAAGACCAGGAAAGGAGGAGAGTAAGAGGATAGAACTCTATAAAATTGCAATAGTTTCTGTACCATCTTCCTTATATCTCTGTCTGTTTTTTGCACTGCAACAAATAGGGCACACGCAGTTGACAGGTAACCAACCGAAAAGGAAGTATTTTTCACATGAAGTACAATAAAGTCATGAAACTCATTTCCCCAGGAAGTTATAGAGATCGAAAGTATGACTAAAGAAAATAAATGGTACTAATGAGATTATTTTGAGGTTTGGCCTCATGCTATCTCCAGCTCATAAATTAAATGGAAGCCAAGTGGGTAGGGGAAGGAGATCAGAGATCATTGCTCAGTAGATAATGATTCAGAAGTATAGCAGTGCATTGTAACTGTTATTGTGCAGAGATAAAATTAAAATTATGTAATAAATGGAGACTCTGGGTGTATTTTAACACTATGAGGGTAAAAACATTAAAACAAGATTTCTGTGCAGTGAATTTGTACAATAGAGTGGTATGTTTATCCTTTAGCTTTGTGTCTTAAGGAGAAGTTGGAATTCAAGATAGCTTTGTATGTGTGAGCAAGACTGAAGTCTGCAAAATGAGGTGATCAACTGGCTGTATAAATTGCCTACTAAAGCAGCTGTAAAATATTTTCCCAAAGAATTTGATAAGGACTTGAGCAGATCAGGATGTATTAATAGAATGCATTGTGTTGATACACATCCCAGTGTGCCACAGAAAAAAACAATCCACATGCACCATCTAAATCCCATTAGCACTGAGCAATAAAAGTGAGATAAATCATGTCAATACCATGCTGCTACTGCCATTTAGAAAAGCTCTAAGGAATGATAGAAGCAATTGCTGGAGGAGAACCTAAAGCAGAAGCTATGTGGGACCAAGGCAGGCAATACAGAAACCTCTTCCTTCCTTGTGCCAGTTCTCATCCCAGCAGGCAAGCAGGGAAAAGGAGGATTTCTTCCTGTTTAATTTTTGGTTGTCAAATACAAGGGTAGAGCGTTTTTATGAATATTTACACTCCTCAAAGGTGAAATGAAAGATGGAAGCTTTAGTATGTAAAAACAGTATTAGAAAGAAGTCCCCCTACTTCCTCCATTTGTAGAGGTGTACAAGGGCATTCATTCAGTGTCGCCCACTCAGCTGGATGTGACACTGTCCTGGGAACACCAGCACATGGCGAGCCAGTTTCCACATTGATTTTCAGCTGTAAAAATGAGAACTATTAGTAGTTTTGCTCAGTATCTGGCCTTCTCCTAAGAACTTTTGCCAAGCAAACTGCTCCTTTCCTTGAGATGTCAGGGCTTCTACCTGATCACTGAGAGCTAGTTTTTACCTTGTTTCAGGGTTGTCTTCTGGTTTTGGTTTTCTTTATACTGCTTAAAATTTAGATAACTGAGGGAGCCAGCAGGCTTTGGAAATGTAGATGCCCTGTGTCATTTAGCTTAACAAAGGTCTTATTGCAGTGTTTATAGAAGGTGGGAGCTCATCCTGTTCAGAAACAAAGGAAGTTCCGAGAGTCATGAATTCCGTGGTGTCCAGTTGTGTCTAACCAGTTGTGTACTAGAGCGTTCAGTACACCCAGATGCAGGGTGTTACTGTAGGCCCTACGCAGAAAGTCTTCCCTGACAACAATTCGTTTGAAGTATTTTAATAAACCATGGTA